GTAGTAGTAGTAGTAGTAGTAGTAGTAGTTGTAGTAGTTGTAGCAGTTGTAGCAGTTGTAGCAGTAGTTTACTAGTAGTGGTAGTAGTAGTAGTAGTAGTAGTAGTAGTAGTAGTAGATGATGAGCAATGATGATGACGATTGTAGTAGTAGGTATATGAGTTTTAAATCTATTTTCGCTGTTTTTGTGTGTGTTTGTGTGCGCGCATCTGAGTGTCTGTGTCATCATGCATTCATACTTTCCATATGTAATGCATATTCAATAATAATAGTAATAGCAATAATAGTAGCAAGAATAATAATAATAATAATAATTATTATAATAATAGTAGTAGTAGTAGTAGTAGTAGTAGTAGTAGTAGTAGTAATAATAATAATAATAATTATAATAGTAATAACAATAATAATAGTATTATTATTATTAATATTAAAATTCGTAATAATAATAATTATTATTAACAAGTAATAATTAATAAACGTGCTGTGCACATAGAAGCGCCTCGTCTGTGTATCACTGCACGGCACGCGCGCGTGTATATTTTCATCGACTAGAATTTGTGTTTATGGGATGCATGTGACTACTACTCTCCTCGTTTTTTATGTTTCATTCTTCCCATTATTCTCGTATCAACCTCAAAGATAAAAAGATAGATTTGCCTTGCATTCGTATCACGACGCTGCTCTAAATGCCATCTATAATTTTATCTACGTATAGATCGAGCCGCTGCATAATACAAATATTTTTCTCGTATGAAAGAAAGAAAACAAATGTGCACTTCACCTGTCGCATTACAAAATTTTACTTTCTTTGAAATTCGCAAAAATAATGGCTGCTCTCGGCCGATCGACAAATCATCGAAAAATGCCTCCATTATGGCTAGCTTTACGCACGAGAGAGGTAAAACAAGTACACTTTCATTCGATTCCTTTTTGCGAACAATTACGAGCCGCTGAAACTTTATTCGATTTAGCTTTATAGACGGAAAAATTTTTTGTCGCCGCTTGTCGGGCAGTCGAAAAATTTCTCGAACGGCTTTACGAGTCCGAGTCATTTTTATTGAAACCAACGTGGCCTACAAAAACTTTACATGTAATTGCACAGAGGCCTGTAAAGATCTAACGCACGAATTAAAGTTTCACTTGCTCGGATAGAGACAGTCTAGTTCAAAAGTGTTAGCGATACTCGTACTAACGACGACTCTGATGGGAAACAGAAACGAATCGCAATTTCCATCTATAAACGACGGACTATAATAATCCTGCCTGAATTCGTACCTATAAGATTCCTCTCCCCCTTTCGTTTTCAAATAATAATTCCCCTTCCTTAACAGCTGTTGGTCCGGTCGCATTTGCGCATTTCATAATCGATTCACCTGTTTCCACGTTCTACCTATCTAGTTCCACCTAATATACAAATATTTGTCTCATTCGCCATTTCTCCTTAGCCTCTTCCTTCTTCTCCATCCTCTCTCCTCCTTTTATTCATCCTCATTCTTCCTCTCCTCCTTTTCCTCTTCCTTCTCTTCCTCTCTTTCTCCATCATCATCTCCTCTTTCGATCTTCTATTTTCTCCCCCCCCCCTCGCGCTCTCTCTCTCTTTCTCTCTCTCTCTCTTTCTCTCGACATTTTTTCTTCAGTCTCCCAGGGCTTTATTTCTTGCGGCCAAGGTACTCGGCTATCTCTTGGAACTTTTCCTTTTCGTCCTCAAGCAACAGCGCTTGGATGCAGCTCGTAAAGTATTCGCTGCCGAAGCAGTTCTGCCTGTTGGACGGTAAATGGAAATGGTCGGAATTAGAAAAACAAATTTCTTTTCGGGTGCTGTGATCCGCGCACGTCCGATAATTGGACTCGCGTGTTTCGATACAACGAGACAAGACGCACATATTTTCATTTTATAATGATCTATATTTTATAATGATTTATTGTTAGTTCCATTTTAGTCATACAGTAATTAGTAATTATGAGAATTTGAAGTATTGTTATTAGTAATAGTTTGATTTCTAAATATATTCGTATAATTTTTATTTCAATTAATACAAAAGATTGAAAAGTGCAGTTTTATATTTCATATGTAACTTGATAATATATATGCCAAGGCTAAAAACAAATACATTTGTACATAACTATACATTTTACAGATTTAGAAAATATGCCTTTGCGAGCGTGCATCTTCTCTCGATTAGCATGCGAAGATATTTATTTATGATAAAAGTGATTGTTAATTGGATAGCAAGTGGATTCGTATTGTTAGTCTGAAAAAAAAATGATTCGTTCACCATTTTCAAGGACATCCTAAAAATAGCCTGTCTCAAAATTAAAAATCTTACAACATCTTCTTGGAAAAAATTCCAGAGCTTCATATATTAAAAAAACAATTAATATTATCATTAAAATAGAAAATTTCAATAAAAATATCGTGTAATGACAGAGTTCAACATTCCAAAAATAAAAAACATCCGTATATGTCTATGAAAAAGAAATATGCATATACATATACCGATGTATATGTAAACACACTCATAAAGTAGGAATATTATATAAAAATACTTTTAACCAAAAAAGTTACGTATTCAAAAATTCATAGCCAAAAATTTAGACAAAAAAAATTACGTATTCAAAAAGTAGCCATAGGGAATTCCGTATATACATTCAAAAATACATCGTATATACTTGAATTGGAAAGTATGAATTGGAATCAATTACATTGAATACGGAATTACCTAAACACTTTTACAAGGCGTCAGAATCTTGATGTTACTGGTTATTATTAAATAATAGATTTGGCAAAATAAAACAAAATATCACGAAAAATAATATTAAAATATATGAAATATTGAAATATGTAAATAAGGTGTACCTTATAAAAACAGGATTTTATACTGTATTGTAAAGAAAAGTCACACCGTCAAATTTATTTCTTAAAATATTACATGCAAACATATGCAATGTAGCGATAAAAGTTAGTAAATTGGCTACAGTTTAAATCAATCCGTTATCTTGTTTAGAAAAATATATTTTGAATATTAAATCGTATGATTAAATAGTTTAAACATTTATTTAATTGCAACGATATTTTATATATGGTTATATATATATATATATATATATATATATATATATATATATATTATAAATTTAGAACAAAAATCATAATGTATTTTTTTTTATTTTTATTTTTATTTTTAATTTGAAAGCAGTAATTTTCTGTTGTAATATATTGAATATATAGATTTAAATATTATGCACGATATTCTGTTCGACATATTTCCCGTAAATCTATCATATGGATAAAAGGAAAAATTTGTTAAAGATTATTTTAAATAGTATCGTTAAATAGGGATAAGTAATTTATAAATATGCATATTTTATGGGAACGATTAAAGAATGTTGAATTGATTTTCAAATTGACGAATTTTTGTTTGTTTAACAATACGTAGGCTTACCTTCGAGAATAATTATTATTTAGTAAAAAGTAAGAGGTAGGCAAGGAAGGAATGTTAACAAATTAATGAAATTGTTACACAAAACAAGAATAAAACGAGAAAATCATAAAAATAAAAATAAAAAAGCACCTAAACCCCAGGATCAGCTCCGTGGAGTTGCTTGATAGATGTTTGAATCCATTCCATTTCATCCTGCAGCAGCAGTACGTCTAGGCAGCCCTTAAAGTAGTCCGACGTAAAGCAGTTCTTTCTGAAAATTTCCATCCAACATTGACTTCTCCATGTGTATCTCGTTGTTTCATTATTATTTTATTTATTTATATTTATGGTATTGAATCGTGGACCATTTCAAATACACTTTATAACGAACTTCGTAATCGTACAATTGAGCTTGATGCAAGGGAGTAAATTAATGTCAAATTGTAATAATGTAATTGCGTACATATTATTGAGAACGATCACTCGTGTAAATCAATTAAAGCTGTTTATAATGGAATCGTCAGTTTTTGAGACACTGTAGTGAATTTAGTACTCGAGAATAATATTCGCAATGAGAAATATAGTAACCATTAATGCTAAAATAAAAAATAAATCAATTGATTGATAAATGAACGTGTAAGCTTAAATTTGTTCATAAATATAGGAATTTAGTTTTTTTTAACTTTGTCTATCTAATCGAGGGCCATTAACATGAAATACAATGGTCGATGAGTGATGCTCAAAAAGAGAAAAGGCAAGGAAGTTCGGCGAATGATAAGCACGCAATCGAGTGGTTGTTATGCAAAAATAGAAGCAATAATCACAAGAGATCCAGAATGCCTTGGTAGTCTCGTATACGAGCTCAAGTCCTTTCGAAAGTCCCGCGTCGCGAAAAAGGCTCACAGCGCACAATCTCTCTTTCTCTTAACTTCTCTACCTTGCTCTCCATCTCCCTCACACGCGCACACACACGCGCACACACACGCACGCACGCACGTACGCACGCACACACAGCAGACAGACAGATACACGCGCGCGCCCAATCTCTCTCTCTCTCTCTGTCTCTCTTTCCTCCTTTCTCTCTCCCTCTCCCTCTCATCCTCTCTTCCTCACCCTCGCCCGTCCTTATGCGTTCTTGCTTTCTCTCTCTCTCTCTCTCTATCTCTATCTCTCTCTCTCTCTCTCTCGCTTGCGCTTCCCTCCATGAAAGATAATTTTAGATCTCTACTCTCGCGATAAAAACAGATGAATTATACTCTCTTAAAGCCAGGACTTGCGCGAGCGCGCAGGTAATAACGGATGTACGTTCGCTTGCTGTATACTTGTTGTATGCCACATACAACGGAGGCGGCTGGGGCAAAAGCCAGCGGCCGCCGTGGATGCTATAAATAGAAGAGAAATCTCACAGTTTCGATACGCGTGCCGAGTTTGGCGAGAACGCGCAACTACTCTTCCGCGTATTTGCCTGAAAAATGCTTTTGTAGTGTGCGTACGTGTAGTGCGCGTACGTGCAGCGCGCGTATGACCGTATGTCGGGCGTAAGTGGCCTTTTGTCAACCACGTCACAAGCCAGCCACTTTCCAGCGCCACACTTGTCTAATTGAATCGATGAGTAATGGCCTGTCCATTAATTTCGTGGATTTATTATTGCAATGGTAGTTGTGCGCTCGTTCTCTCACTCTCCTCCTCCCCCCTCCCCCCTCGCTCTCGTGTACATTTGTTTGTTTTTGCGATGAGACCGCCGCTACCGCCACCGCCGCCACCATCGCCGCCACCACTGCACACGTTCTCAAAGGATATTTATTTTAATTTGGACGCCCAGAGCTTAGCCTAGTCTCGACCGTTAAGGCGCTCTCTTTTGTCATTTTCGCGCATTACTTTCTCGTTAATTTTTTTTATATAATTGACGATACTAATGCCCGTTCTATATTAGAAAAGTGCTTTCGAATCGCGCTCGATTCATTCACATGATGTCATCGCCATTAACGACTTGTCCAGCCCTTTTCAAGGATCTTTTCTGCATTAAATAAACTGTATGGTAGCACTTGCTAATATGGAAATTCGCGAGGTAATCCGTGCCCGGCCATATTATTCGCAAATAAACTTCCATATGGCAAACTATTCAATTTACACAGGCCTGTAGATTATTAGATTATTGTAGAGTCTAAGGAGTACCCATAGTTTTGAGATTTGAAAGTTCCGAGAGTTACGATACAGCGAAACGGAAAGAGACAATCGGTACAGTACGTAAGCACTAATTACTCCGCGTCCACAAGAATTAGAGTATCGCGATTCATGATTCTCCCCCCCCCCCATCGCTTCACCTTCACTTTATCTACTTTGCCGACTTGGTATATTCAAGTGCCGCAGGTAATTTATGAAATTGATTGTTAAGGAAGCTATATGGAATATGCAAATTGTTTCAACCTCGCCAAAAGAGCCAGAGAGCCTAAATAATTTGTTGGCACGCGGGCCGGGATCCTGCGTACGAGAGGTACATGGTGAGGCAGGAAGGGCAAGAAGGCAGTTGCTCGAATAATCCTATAATGTGCCCCGGTCGACGGTACGCGCGCTTAGCTGATCGCAAACCGACGAAGAGGGGAAGTTGCAATCGTCCTTGTTACCTGCAGAGCGTATGGAGCTGAGGTTCACGGAACAGATTGTAGCAGTCCTCGCAGATGCGGTCGAGCCTCGCGAACAGGCTCTTATCATACACGCCCTTGCACTGGATATCCATGAAGGAACGCTTGCTGAAAGGATGGCCCATGAGAGCGCCGGCGTCGGCTATGCCGAGGCACGAAGTGAAAAGCAGGAGCGTCATCGAGCAGGCGAGGACCGACAAGAGCGATGAGGAGCTCCCGGTGGTCCAGGAAGAAGCACTCGAGCAATGGTCAAGGCTGCCGTTGCCGGTGCCGCTTCTGCAACGACCGGTGCTCCTCGGCGACCTCGGCGACCTCGTCAACGAGGCTTTCGGCGACTCCGATCTTGACATAGACCTTCTGAGCAGCTGGCTCCTCTCCGTCGCTATGGCGTACGAGTTTCGCGTCTCTTGGCGGTGCATCATCTGAAACACGCAAGGCGCAGGATCTCGATTAGTCGCAGCTAGTCGTAGTTATAAATTACGAGCGAGGAGTAAAGGATACTCGGCATTAGGAGGACTATAAGCAGTTCGTATAAATACGTGTCGTCAGTTTAGTCGGCCGATTTTTTAGGCTCCGTTTTCCCTCTGGACAAGGTAGCAGCACGAATTAACAATTACATGAGCAATGACATGCCAATATCTTCGGCTATTACAATTTATCAAACTATTGGATAATATCAAAGCGAATGAAATGTTTTACAAAGTAACTGATGCAAGACTTCATAAATCACTATAAGTGAGAAAACTTTCTACTCGAGCGAGTGTACGTTTATTGTTGTGTACCGTGGAGTGATAACAATTATGATTTTGTCCTTGTTGTCGATGCTAATTCGAATTACCTAAAGGGCCGAAATTTTAAGAGCTCCTTATCAATAACCTATAATTACATAGAAAATACTCAACCTTCAATGGCCTAAGGTTTCCAATTTAATGTCGTTGCTTCGATTGATTATCTACTACGTAAAACCAGCTAGAATTTTAACTACAAAATAGTTTATGAATCATCGCAGCGAAGTCATTATTGTATCGCCGCGTCTCTTTTTACCTTTCGGGTTAAGTATGTGGGGAAAACAACGATTAGTCATCTGAATTCTATTCGGTGGATACGAAATATTTTAATTTATTTTTTGGATCGAAAATATTTTAACTCCCATTAGAAATCTGTAATACGATTTTTACGTACATAACAAAAACGTATCGGATACTTTGTGGAAACAAAGACGCATTTCGAAATTTCATGCAATTGTATTTATCTTACTTTTATTCGTGTATATATATATATATATATATATATATATATATATATATATATTTATTTTTTTTTTAAAACTTAATGCCACTTTAAGATTTTAATGTATCACTGAAAGAGATTTTAATTTATACAAGAATTGCAGTCAACTAATTATGACTTGGTTTCATGAATTATTTTTTCTATTCCATACAGTCGGTGATTATATTATATGGGGACACTTAAATTTGTATTCATACTTTAAGTATTTATATGAAATGTCATTCAATACTTTGGTTTTTGATAAATTTAGGAATTCGGAGGACAATATGGGTTTACGATTGTCATTACAAATTTTTGTATAATATTCCGTGTTTAGTTTAGAGAGAAAAAATTAATATTAAATGTCTGATGAGTATAATTAATCTTATTAACGTATTTCTGATCAATTGTTAATTCGGCATTATAAATAACGTATTACATAGTTGAAACAAATTTTTCATATAATAATAAAGATGATGATGATGATGATGATGACGACGACGACGACGACGACGACGATGATGATGATGATGATGATGATGATGACGATGACGATGACGATGACGATGACGATGACGATGACGATGACGATGACGATGACGATGACGATGACGATGATGATGATGATGACGATGACGATGACGATGACGATGACGATGACTATGACTATGACGATGATGATGACGATGACGATGACGATGACGATGACGATGACGATGTCGATAATGATAATGATATAAATATTAATAGGTTTTCTAAAAATTATCAAGTGGAACGATCAATATCAGTAACAAAGCTGACAAGTTAATTAAAAGACTTTCTAGATCGCTATAAAAAACTTCAAAACGTTGTTGTTCTTTCACGTCTCCCTGGACGTTAATCGCCGATTTTAGAATTATCACGTAGGGTTATACATCAAATGCTTTTACATCTCGTAGTCATCCTTCAACAAGCTTCAAAGAAATTTTTTTTTATTAATGAACTATGAATATGCGAGATGATTGGACATTAAAACAAGTAACTATGGACGATGTGCTCTGTAAAAAGAGTAATCCTTATCGAAAAGGGACAATGTTATATTTTCATTTGCAATCAGATTTTCGCATAATTGAGTTGCAGAATTAAATATTTTTCTTTGACATTCCGAATTCAAAATAACACTGATATTTAAAGCACCTTTACATAAGTTATTTATCTTATAAATTAGAAATATTATGAAAGCATTCGATGTAAAGAAATTTTTTACAAACATTATGAGAAAATGTAATCATTGTATCTATAATATTCAAGGCGTAGATTTAATTTAAATCGATATGTTATAATATTATACAATCGTATATTCAAATAGTTTCAAGTGAATTTACAATTGCAGCCCAAATATAGTTGAGAAAGGTCGAGAAAGATAGATCGGTCGAGTCTATTTCATATTTTGATAACACGTTGAACGTAATATTTCTCTTATTTATCATATTAAGCTTTTTGATTTCAATCGATATAACATGGCTAATAGCCAATGACATAGACCACAATAAGTGATAAAAAAAAAAATAAATTACTTTAACGTACAAACTCCTTGCACGCTTATCAGCTTATCCTAGTGTAATAATAAAATCTCGAAAGTGCGTGTTTACAACAGCAAGGTTATCGTATTAACCGTTAAATTATTGTTTGTTGAGAAATAACAATAATATTCGGTTCACCTGTCGCAGCACAAGGATAAAACATCTCGTTTTTATGGGAAATCTACTTCATACGCCAGGCCAAAGCGTAAAAGGGTCAGAGCCGGCGCGCGTGCGCCGGAGAAAGATACAGAGAAACAGCCAAGATACTTATAAATATACCGGATTTCATGAGAGGCATAACGGATGAGGATGTAAAATAGCTCCTAACCAGTGGCACGCACGATTTACTCGCCTTCTCTCTTGCTTCTGCGTGAATGGACCACACGCAGTAGTAGCGGTGGCGGTGGCGTTGATGGTGGCGGTGGCGGTGGCGGTGGCGGTGGTGGTGGTGGTGGTGGTGGCGGTGGCGGTGACGGTGGCAGCAGCAACATCAGCGTCAGCAGGAGTAGCGGCGGCGGTAAAACGTTGGAGGCTCCCACCTGTAATCGCCTCCTCAACCCCGACAACTTCATTAACCAGGACCTTCCGTCTGTCCCTGTTTCGCTTTTACCGTGGCTATCTCTATCCCCTCCCCCCCTCCCACTCCCACCCCCGCCCCT